AGGGTGGCGGGCGTGGGCGAGAGGGGTGGGGAGGTGTGTGTGTGTGTGTGTGTGTGTGTGTGGAGGGTGAGGGCTCCGGCTGGGGGTGCGGGCTCTGGGGTGGGGCTGGGGATGAGGAGTTTGGGGTGTAGGAGGGTACTCCAGGCTGGGACTGAGGGGTTCGGAGGGCAGGAAGGGGATCATGGCTGGGGCAGGGGGTTGGTGCATGGACGTGTGTGTGTGAGGGATCCGGCTCTGGGGTGGGGTTAGGGATGAGGAGTTTGGGGTGCAGGAAGGTGCTCCGGGCTGGGATTGAGGGGTTTGGAGGGTGAGAGATGGATCAGGACTGGGACAGGGGGTTGGTGGGAAAGGAGGGTGGCTAAGGGGTGCAGGCTTCGGGTGGCGCTTACCTCAAGTGGCTCCTGGAAGCAGCGGCATGTTTCCCCCACCCCCCATAGGCGCTGCCCCGGCCGCAGGCGCTGCAGCTCCCATTGGCTGCAGTTCCCGGCCAATGGGAGCTGCAGGGGTGGCTCTTGGGGCGGGAGCAGTGTGCAGAGCGGAGCCCCTGGCTGTCCCTAAGCATAGGAGCTGGAGTGGGGACATGATGCTGCTTCCGGGAGCCATGCAGAGCAGCCCCGGACCTGAGCGCAGGAGCAGGGCAAGCCCCAGACCCCGCTCCCCAGCGTGAACTTGAGGGCCGGAATCCGGCCCGCAGGCCATAGTTTGCCCATCCCTGGTATAGATGCAGAAATAGAGTTGTCTTGTTTAGATTTTCTTAATTCTTCAGCTATTTTCTTAAATTTGGTAATTACAGAACCTGATTCCTCTCCTATTATCTGGATGCTCTGGTGGTATGAAACAGCTATAAAACCAAATTAACCAGCTACCTGGAAATTGCATAAGTAGCATAGAACAAAGAACTAAATGCTGTTCCCTGTTTCCTCTAACGTTATTATAGTCTTACCATTTATCTTTTCCCAATGTGTAACATAAAATTTAGCTAGGTTCTTTGTACAGAATTCATGGTTTTAAATCTGTTTTGATTATTCATTTGTCTGGGCCCATAAATTATAACTTCTTGTAATCCTACTTGATTCTGCAGACCTTTTCAGGTACAATATTAACTGGAAGTAAAGGCTTAGCCAGTTAACCATATAGCAGTGATAGCTGTAGGCCAAAGTGTGGCCTCACTCCTCTTTGAACCATTAGGGTGATGATACAGAGATATAGCAGCCTGAGGAGCTATAAAGTTGGGTCAGATGCAGGAAGAGAATGCCTTGAAGAGTGTTGGGAGGAGTATTCCTCATCCCTGCTGGTTAAAGAATAGCACCGATGGAATTCTATTGGGCACTTGCGGGCATGCAGAAGAAATGATGTCCTGTTCTTGACTTCACCTGGCATCCCATGCTGTCTTGAGACTAAAGGCTTCTGCTTAGTGCTTAAGGAATACTATTAGTGTTGGCATTCGTGCCTGGGCTAGGCACATGGGTTGAGGAAGGCTCCCCATGCCCTCTCCTGTCCCTCATTGTACTGGCATAGAAAAATCTAGAATTTTGTTCATTGTTTGTGTTACACATACACAATAGTTGTTACTATAAATTCATCAGAGTTCAGTGTCATTCTCTTATGTAACTGGCTGCCTGTATCTATAGTAGAAGTACTAGCATTTCATTCTGTATGTTGGAAAATGTTACTTTGAAAGTAGAATAAATATATTTTATTTTGCAGAAGAAATAAAATGCTGTCATTTATATATATTTTATTTTTGTATGTTTATAGCAAACTTTCTTCCTACAATGACTGCTGTGCAGCTCTGGCAGCCTGCTCCAGATGTTATGTCTTATTTTTAGCCCTTCTAAACAAACACCAAAAGAAGCAGGTCAGTATTTTCATCTCCTGCTTTTTATATTTTAATCCTCTGTGTCTCTGTTATTGTATGTGTGTAAGCCCATTTTCAGTGACCTACTTTCATGCACATTTACAAGGTAATAATTTAAAACAGTTGACAGCATTTCTATATTAAGGAAATGGAATCATTTAGATTAAGAGGGCAACACAGAGGACAGACAGTTGATTAACTTGTCTATCCTTAGCGCACACATAAGCTATCCTCTGAATACTTATATTTTTTCCAAGGTTTTAAGTAGTAGTAATGTTTTTTAAAAAGCAAGTGGTTTATCAAATAGCAAAAGTTTTTCTATATTTAAAATTGCTTAACTTTGGGAACCCCCACATTTCAATTGTGGAAAAAGCTACAACTTCTTTTTATTAAATATCCAAACAAGCTATCTAAGGGTACATCTACGCTGCAATAAAAAACCCTAAGGCACTGAGTCTCAGACCTTAGGCTCACATTGATTGGGCTGAGGGCTAAAAATTGCAGTATAAATATTTGGGCTTGGGATGGAGCCTGGGCTCTGGGACCCGGAACGCTCCTGCCTTGTGGGGTTTCAGAACCAAGGCCTCAGCCCAAACCTGAACATCTACACTGACATTTTTAGCACCACAGTCAGTCCCTCAAGCCTGAATCAACTGACCTGAGCCAGCCGCAGCCATACCATGGGTCTTGTATTACAATGTAAACATACCCCCAAGTATGGATTCTTATTATGCCTGAAAAATATACAGTGCCTTCTACCAAAGCAACCCAAAATTATTTGAAACATATAGCTAGAAATAAAAGTATTTGGGAATTTTCATATCTGAAAGATTGGCTAGAATTATGAGAGTATCCTGTTTATACGCTGTAATAAATAGCTGGTTCATAAGTAAGCACAAAATGTTCGTTGCCTGAGAACGCTGAGATTTTTAACCTGTCATATTTCTACTTTTAATAAATGGTTCTCATCCCATAGATCAGCTTTGTTTTTGCATGTTAAGCACCATCTCTTCTTTATCAAAACATCACTTAGTAAGCAAATTAACTGTTTATTAAAACAAGTTTATTACTGTGTTGTGATGATTTTGTGTATGTGTTCAGAGTAATTTCTCCTTACAATGATTCTTATACACAAACCCAGAGCTATTTGTACTAGTGTAGTGCTGACAGACCCCGGTCATTGGGATCGAACCTGGGGACTCTGGAGCTAAATGCATGATCATCTACTGCATGAGCTAAAAGCCACATGGCCCTTTGCTAAGGCTGTAGCAGACTCATTAATCTCTAAGTGGTCTCGGTGCCACTAGAGGGGATGGAGCACCACACCTAGGAGGTGTGTGGGTTACACTAAGTTACTGAAGGCCTGTGCTGGCAGATAGGGGGTCTGAATGATCTAACATCAATTTCCTCTCTAATATTTATAGTATTATAAACATTAGAGCTGTGAGGGTGCATGCAAGTTTATGAAGTGCAGGTGGCATCACTACAATGTATAATACTGAGAGTTAGAGGGTTTATATATCATCTTTTATCTGTTTAAAAGACAAACAATCTCACAACCTAGCAAAAACTGTCTGTGGGAGGACGAGCAATGAGAGTACCAATGGAGCATTCAAAATAATGAGGCAGGCTTCAAAAAAAACATAAGATTGTCTTAAACTTGTGAGATTTTTTTTTTAAACATATTTTGTTTTTTTGTCTCTTGGTTTCTGGGGCTCTGGCATATAGCTGGGTTGGAGTATCTAGTTTTTCTCTGCAACCATAAGAGCTGGAAACTTACTTCAAAAAAAAAAAAGAAAAGAAAGGTGAGTCATTCTCAAACAAGTAATCAAATATTTTCAAGGAGCTGTGACTTTAAGAAAAACACTAAATGTCACGATGACTCGTGATTAAAAATGTCAGAGCTGGAAACACCACAGTTATTGAGCCTGCTGAGCAGCTTCTCCTTATCACTTGACTGCTGTGAGAAGATAGGGAGGGTTTGTTAGGAGAGTTAAGTTGCCAAGATTCACATAACTACATGTGTTGTCATCTCACATAAGAAGGGAAATGTGTGAGTTTGCAAGATGGATCTTCAGGGGTGGGCAGGGGAGCTCAGCAGTCCCATTTTTAGACACATAACTGACCTGGCTCTCCTTGGTGCCTTCTCCACAGCTGTTTTTGGAGAGTGTTGGAGAGCCTTTGTTGGCTCTGTACCTCTCAAATGTCATGCACAATGGGCTGCCATGGATGCTTATCTTGGGACCCACTATCCTGTATGTTGTGCCATGTGTACTTTTCCCCAAGCTCCCAGCTGTCATTAGTGTTCAAGGCTGTTTCTCACCTTTTCTTCAGAGCTATTTGGAAAGGCAGATGAGCACAGTTCCTACGCTCAAGCTCCCCTACCTTTCACATGTACTTCTTGAGCTGCAGCTATGTGAAGCATAGCTTTCTCCTCCTGCTGAGCTTGCTGATGATGGTGATGTCCTTAGCCACAGGGAGGCCCTCTTTTAAAACAGGAAGAAAGCATATAAATGGGGTGATGATTTCCATACAATGACGTGTGTATATGTGTAAATATAATTAGAGACTAATCTTGATCTTACATATTTTCCCCCCTCCCCCTTCCAGTTGAAATTATTGGGTTGTCATTACGAATAGTTTCAAGTTGGCCAAAATGGCATTTGTTAGTAAACAAACTATATGTCCAAAAAAATTTGCCCAGGTCTAGTTTTAATATTCACTTTCTAGAGAGGCACTATCACAGTTACTCGACTATCTGTCCCTGGACTCCTGACTGCTCTCTCTGCATGCACCCCTCCAGATGACAGGGCTCCTCCTTTCACCTGTCTCAGAGTGGAATCTCACAATTCTCCCGCTCTTAGACCAGATCCCTGGGCTACAGTGTCCTGTGAGTACTTAGCAGGGCTGACTGTGATCAGACCCTGCAGGTCTCTCCTTTGGGGATGTGACCAGTGGTTAATGCACAGTGACCAGAGAGCCTTCTCCAAATCAAGGTGTTGCTTAATTTTAACAGTAGGAACACAGCTCCCTGTAACAGAGAGAGGGTTTGAACACTCAAAGCTGCTCATAGGCCTGTTTCACTTACTACCCCGTGAATGGTAACCAAGTAGTCCAACTTAGTCAGACCCTCTTGCAGGGTCTGTCTTGTTTCCCTCTGCTCTACTCTGCTTGAGCAACTCCTGACAACTACCCCATCCCGGATCTCTAGAATCACTTTTTAACTGTTTAGTGTCCTTTTGATTTTAGGTTCCAGCCTTGGTAGGACAACTGTGGAACTCTTAGCTGGAGCCTGTAAGTGGGATCTTTACAGTTAAATACTCTGTCATAGCATCAGAGTTTAAGGCCAGAAGGGACCACCAGATCATCTAGTCTGACCTCCTGGATATCACAGGCCACCAATATCACCCAGCACCCATACACTAAACCCAACAACCAAAATTAAACCAAAGTATAACAGTGCTCAGGAGACTAGATTATTATGTAGTATAGACAGAGAACAGGAGGGACTCAGGTGGACCTGTGCCCATGGCTCCACAATGGCAGGGAAATGATTAAGTCCTGCATCTTGACAGGGGGTTAGACTAGATGACCCTTGCGGTCCCTTCCAACCCCATGATTCTAAGTAAGAGGTACTCAGATAATCCTGGCAAGTGACCCACACCCACACACTGCAGAGGAAGGTGAAACCCCCCCAAGGTCACTGCCAATCTGACCTGGGGGGGAAATTCCTTTCCATCCTTATACATGGTGATCTGTTAGATCCTGAGTATGTAAGCAAGAACCAGCAAGCCAAGCATCTGAGAGGAAGAGAATGCCACGTCAGAGCCCGAACTCTGGCCCTCCTTGTCCAATGTCCCTGTCCCTCCCTGTCTTGTCTCCTGATGTATTTGTCAGGAGCTGGCTTATCTGCACTCATTGTCTGGCCTTCCTGGCTGTTTTTCTAGCCACCTGCTATTAAACTGAACTAAGCTATACATTCAACTCCCATTATGGCTACCCAGTATCTATTCCTTACAACAGACAACCATATAAAATGTATAGTATTCCTAGATTAATACAAGCAGTCCCATGTTCTTCACGAGGGTTATTAATGCCACAACTGAATTTATAAAAGTGCCTATCCAATACCCTGAGACCATTATTGACATCTCCTCTGCTTTGAGACATCTCAATCTTACAAGATACTGATTTTTTTTATCTATTTCTGTTACTTTGTCTTCAGCTGTTGTTTTTTTTTCACTGAGTTTCAATAGCTGTATATGGATTTTCTAGTTTTAAAATTATTTTGGGTTAACGTAACTTTTTTTCCTTGATCCATATGTTTTGTCATTTTAGGCTTTTTGTTTAAGCGCCCTTTTTTAATACAGTAGTGACAGAGATCCTTCAAAAACATAAATTTATGTTAACGCCCCACCACAGCACACCAGTTTAAAGAGTGATTATGGTGATTGGTCATTACAGAGCCAAGAACTCTTAATATTTATCCTGGGGTGTGTGTGGGTGTGTAAATATTATTCTAGAGATATAACAGATACAGTATGATAAATAACTCCTGTTTGATTCTCTTTTATTATTAACTTTTGCTTAGAGAAAAGATCTTTCTTGGACAAATGTTCTGAAAAATCCCAAGGGAATTTTCATGGTGATTTAATCTAAACAGCCACAGAGGGTCAGCCTTTCCCTACAGTATGATGGCTGATACTATGCCTAGCTAACAACATGCATAACTTCAAATATTTAAATTGTGATAGTTTGTTTTTTCTCCAAAGAGATGTTGTAATAGAAAGATTCAAAACATATGCTTTAGACCAGGGATTCTCAATCTTTTTCTTTCTGACTGCCCCCTCCTCCTCCCCAACATGCTATAAAAACTCCATGGTCCACCTGTGCCACAACAACTGTTTTTCTGCATATAAAAGCCAGGGCCAGTGTTAAGGGGTAGCAATCAGGGCAGTTGCCTGGGGCTCATGCCACAGAGGGCCCTGCGAAGCTAAGTT